CCAGTAAGGCACCTGGTGGTAAGCATCTGGAGAGCATGCAGCCAGGGCTGGTGAAGATTGCCCTGATTGATTTGATGCGATGCTATGCTTAGACCGAGCTTGTCCAAGTTGGTGCCCACCTAGATACCTGGTGTTTATTCTGCCAGGTGCCTGGGGACCTACCTAGGTACGCATCCGATTTGGGAAAGACAGCGAGGGCAGTGTAGCAAATGCAGACAGCTTGCAGATGGTGTAGAATTCCTAGCGGCTGCACTGGAATGTGAAGAACAGGTGCGGGTGACGGCCGCTTTGAAGAAGTTGAACTGTCGTCGATATACAGTGTCAGTCCCCAGTATGATATTTTTTGAGATGAACTCAAGGCGATGGAGGAACTTGGAGGAGAAGATCGACCACGGCCACCAGCATCACTGTATCCGTAACAATACGTTAGATGAAAAGCAAAGGGCGTCCCGCGTCCGTCATACTTGGCGGTACGTACCGAGGACGATCTTCTGGGCTAGTGTAGCAGCCGAATGGCTGAGCAAGGGAATGGCGCCACAGTCCAAGGAAGAGGAAGAGCCGGCCGTGCCAGCCTGGGTGCCTGGGAGGAGGGCCGCACTGGACCATCTGAATGGAAGGTCTGAAGGAGGTTAGGGGCGCCGGCACCCTGATGACGGCGCCTGCAACCAAGTGCGACTGTGTATCCGAATGATGGCCGTCAGCTTCCATCTGGAAATGCAACTTTTCCGGGCACTGATAGATATGCTAGAGATGTGAGTAACAGCAACGCCAGAGAAGAAAATTTGCACCGTGGCCGGCTTTCCAGAGCAACACGGGGTCTCCTGGCATGGTGCACATAATGAGATGCTCTGCTAGGTGTTAGTGTTGGTGACGAGCGATGCAATGTGTGCGGTTGCCGGTGAGGTGGGGCACTCCAGAGCTGCCCCTCACCTACTGCTTCCAGTCTGTCCTCAGCTCCGTGTGGCTGGCCAGGTCCGTGGTCTTCTTGCTGCTGCCACTGCTGCTGCTGGCCCATTGAACCCAGCCCAGATCCATTCGTTGCCCCAGCGCCTGCTGAGTCCTGACATATGCCACCCCGGTCGAGATATGTCAGACACCCAATTCTTGTCGCGTATCGTATCCGCGAGGTAAGGTAGGTACGAATACTGACCGACCGCAGTTGCCATCTGCCTGCCGTCCCAAACATGCAACGCAAGCGAGCAAAGGCAAGCCAGACATTCATGGTCTAGACGTTCAAATGGGAACGTGAAGACATCTGTTTCGCCCGCTTGCAAAAGTCCATCGAGACAAACTTGGGGGAAAGGGGAACCTTCAAGCCTCCCGTCATTGTCACGGGCCAAACATTGCTTGCTCTGCTCTGCTCTGCTCAAGCTCTCTAAACTTTTGCCTGACGTCGGGTAAGTGCCAGTGCTAATCCCGACTTCAACCTCATCACTGGAACTCCAGCTTTGGCCGTCATCACCAGAGTCACAAAATAATAAGCACAAACCAGTGTCTTGTTTCCTTCTTGCCTCAATCCATCAACCCATGCCTGACTTGGCCTGCCTTCTTAGCGCAGGCAATAATACCTAGGCCGACGACGTCTGCCTCTCAACTCAACCCGTGCCTCTGTACGAATACCTCTCCCTCCCCCCCCTTCTGTCATCCATCAATACGAGCACGCCCCTGCCACCACCCCGCCCACCGCCCACCTCCACGCCTCGCACACCTCTGGGCGCTACTGCGTGCTCTCTCCACGTACACAATACACACCTCCCCTCCTCCATCAGTGTTGTCCAGCACACACATAAAGCTGCTCAGCTCCCGCCTCCTTACCACTGGCTTTGCCTTGCTCATTCCCGCTCGATCCAACTATCCGTCTCTCTCGCTCTTCTTGATACCCCTCACCGCCGCCTCTAAAGACCTATATCCCCGCCTAGGTCTCTCTCTGCGAATTGGTCTTTACGTCTTTTTTTTAGGTCTTTTGCGCTGAAATCAACATGTGGTATGTCTACCTCTCTCCCCCAACTCTCCCCCGCTCTCCTGAAAGCTTGCCCGCAGCCTCCCCCTTCCATCCAGCTTTTGCCAGCTGAAAAGGGGCCCAGGCATACGCCTTGAAAGCCATTGGCAACACAGTAAGCAGTAAGCTGACAGGAAATTCTTCCCAACAGTGGCATTTTCGGCTACGTCAACTACCTGGTGGAGAAGGACCGCAAGTTCATCCTCGAGACTCTAATCAACGGTGAGTACACCGCCTCCTGAAAGCTCCAATTGGAGCCATGCAGCTCCACCAGCTCATTCCGAGGGGCTGTTGTTGACTAACGAGCCATGTGTTCTCTTCTCTAGGTCTGTCGCGTCTCGAGTACCGTGGCTACGACTCCGCCGGTCTGGCTGTTGATGGCGACAAGAAGAACGAGGTTTTCGCCTTCAAGGAGGTTGGCAAGGTCGCCAAGCTCAAGCAGCTCATCGCCGAGTCCAAGGTCGACGAGACCAAGTACTTCGATTCACATGCCGGTATCGCCCACACTCGCTGGGCTACCCACGGTCCCCCTTCTCGTCTGAACTGCCACCCCCACAGGTACGTGTGCACTTTTCGCGAGGATACTAGCAAACTTTCCACTTCAGCCTCCTTGCTATCAATGACTCAGTGGCTAATGATCCTTCTCCTGCAGGTCCGATCCTACCTGGGAGTTCACCGTTGTCCACAATGGTATCATCACCAACTACAAGGAACTCAAGACCCTCCTGAGCGCCAAGGGCTTCAAGTTCGAGACCGACACCGACACCGAGTGCATTGCTAAGCTCGCCAAGTACCTCTACGACCAGCACCCCAAGGTCGGCTTCACCGACCTGGCCAAGGCTGTCATTAACGAGCTCGAGGGCGCCTACGGTCTTCTGATCAAGTCCGTCCACTACCCTCATGAGGTCATCGCTGCCCGTAAGGGCTCTCCCCTCGTCATTGGCGTCAAGACCCAGAAGCGCATGAAGGTCGACTTTGTCGACGTCGAGTACGCCGATGAGCAGGCTGCCCTCCCAGCTGAGACCGCATCCCAGAACATTGCCCTCAAGAAGCAGCAGGACAACTTCTTGAACCCCAACGCTCTGCTGGGCGCTCCTGACAAGTCTCTCCTCCACCGCTCTCAGTCGCGTGCTTTCATGACCGACGATGGCATGCCCATGCCCACCGAGTTCTTCCTGTCCTCGGACCCCTCCGCTATCGTCGAGCACACCAAGAAGGTCATGTACCTCGAGGACGACGACATTGCCCACATCCACGAGGGATCCCTGAACATCCACCGCCTTAAGAAGGCCGATGGCAGCTCCAACGTGCGCACCATTCAGACCCTTGAGCTTGAGCTCCAGGAGATCATGAAGGGCAAGTTCGACCACTTCATGCAGAAGGAGATTTTCGAGCAGCCTGAGTCCGTTGTCAACACCATGAGAGGTCGTCTCGACAGCGAGAACAAGACGGTTACGCTTGGTGGTCTCCGCTCTTACATCTCTACCATCCGCAGATGTCGCAGAATCATCTTCATTGCTTGCGGTACGAGTTATCACTCATGCATGGCTGTTCGCGGTGTATTTGAGGAGCTCGCCGAGATCCCCATCGCTGTCGAGTTGGCATCCGACTTCCTCGACAGACAAGCCCCTGTCTTCCGTGACGACACCTGTGTCTTCGTCTCCCAGTCTGGTGAGACTGCCGACTCTCTCATGGCCCTCCGCTACTGCTTGGAGCGTGGTGCTCTGACCGTCGGTATCGTCAACGTTGTCGGCTCCTCCATCTCTCTCCTCACTCACTGCGGTGTCCACGTCAACGCCGGCCCTGAGATCGGTGTTGCGTCTACCAAGGCCTACACCTCCCAGTTCATTGCCATGGTCATGTTCGCGCTCTCCCTTAGTGAGGACCGCGCGTCCAAGCAGAGACGTCGTGAGGAGATCATGGAGGGTCTGGCCAAGATTCCCGAGCAGATCAAGGACATCCTCACCCAGGACCAGTCTATCAAGGAGCTCTGCTCCAAGACCTTCCAGAACCAGAAGTCCCTGCTTTTGCTCGGCCGTGGCAGCCAGTTCTCTACCGCCCTTGAGGGTGCGCTGAAGATCAAGGAAATTTCCTACCTTCACTGCGAGGCTGTCATGTCTGGTGAGCTGAAGCACGGTGTCCTGGCTCTCGTCGATGAGAACTTGCCCATCATCATGATTCTCACCCGTGACGACCTCTTCAAGAAGTCGCTCAACGCCTACCAGCAAGGTATGTTTGGAAACATTCGTATGCATTATGTTCTGTCACTAACTCTCAATAGTCATTGCTCGTAGCGGTAAGCCCATCGTCATCTGCAACCCTGCCGATGAGGAGTTCAAGTCCAGCGAGGCCGAGAAGATTGAGATCCCCAAGACCGTCGACGTCCTTCAGGGTATTCTCAACGTCGTTCCTCTGCAGCTGATCGCCTACTGGCTCGCTGTTATGGAAGGCCTCAACGTCGACTTCCCTCGCAACTTGGCCAAGTCTGTTACCGTCGAGTAAACAGGCTGTCAGCAGCGAACGAGGTTGAATATTTTCTTGTGAGGTGCTTCTCGCCATTGGAGTTGGGTTGCCAAAAGGGAGGCTGGCCCTTGGCTTAATGACACAGTGGGCCATGAACAGATGAATGCCCTCGGATGTATTACTGGATTTTGTGTGAAAAGGAGGGAATGGTCCAGCATGGTAGATTTAGGGCCTGTCAAGATAAAGGAGCGTATGTTTAAAAAGGTTAAATGCCAGAGAAGAGGCAACCTAAAGCAATCAATGAAAGCAATATTGTCTATTTCATTTCGTGTTGTTACACTCTCGTGTCCCGCGACCTATCGTATTGCGGATGACACGTAGAAGGAAGTCGATCTCGGACTTGCTTCTTCTGCTGCTCCCCAGAGTCGCCGTTAGTCATCCCGGATGGCGAGTCGAAAGCAACTGTCCCATTTAACCAGTAACTGTCATTTAATTCCTCTATCCCATCGTATCCTCCAGGAACTCCTTTCTCTCCTCCTTAAACAACCTGCGTGCCGTAGCCACGGATCCGTTCCGCGAACTTCCAGCTCTGCTTCTCCAGCTTCTCGTTCTCCTTGAGGTCAACACCATCCTTGGTGACAACGGCAATGGAGTACGAATCCAAACTGCGGGCGTCACGATAGAAGAGCACCTTCATGCATTCCTTGATAACCTCGATGGCCTTCTCCTTGGTCAGATTGGCAGCTGCCTCATCGTCGGGGACATAGCGGCGCATGATGGGCTGTGCCAGAGCAGAACCGAAACCGGTGGCCAATGAGGGGGAGGTGAATGTGGTGCCGAGGAGGTCGGCCGCGGCAAGGAACGGCTTGCCTGCGTCGTCCAAGCCGGCGACGAGGAGATGGTTCCAGAGGGGGTCGAAGTCGGAACGGCGCTTGTACATCAGCTTGGAGAGGTACTTGTGCAGGTTTGCAGCGTTGAGGCGGGGCGCTTGATCGGTGGACAGGTCGTAGGACTCCTCAATATCGAGGGACTGGAGGTGGCGGTCGAGGAACTGCATGTCGGAGACGTCGCCGCCAAAACCGACAACGGTAGAGTCGGCAAACTTGCGCAGACGCTTGACATCGGTGAATCGAGCAAGGGAGCCGTAGGATGCTGTCATTGGGGTTTGATTGTCAGTATTCGATCGTCTTTGAGGTGCTAGGCTTTTGGAATGGTGAGAACGGGCGTACCCAAGTTATCGGCGGCGATGACGACACCCTCTTTGAACTTGATAGCAATGACTGATGTGCCCGTGACGATGGGGGCTTGTGTCGCTTGGTTGGGGCCGTTGGGGTTCATGTAGGAGGCATTGTAGGCTCCGTAGACGTCGTCTCTAGGCTGTGGGAGGGGTTCAGTCTGTTAGTCCATGACGAGAGGCTGAGGGCAGAGGGAGGTTGCATACCCGGCCCCAAGCTTGCGGTCTGTGATCCATGGTTATCGATGGTATCTGGTTGAAGAAGGAAGGGAGGTCGAGTTCGCGGTAGTGGGTGTCGGTATCGTCGGTGGATGGAACGGTGGCAGAGTGTTTGGTGATGGTCGTCGGTATGTAGATGTAGCTGGGGGCTGCTGTGCTTAGCTTCGCGTCCCGTGGATGCCTCTGCCGCCGGCTGCCAGGTGCTGGTGGTGCTTGCTGGACCGCTGCGTCAGGGTGGTGCCTGACAAACGGGGCTGCAACTTGAGGTAGGCTTACCGAAAATGGTCAGCTTGGAGCTGTAGTGGTGGGAAGACCGGAGAAGTAGACGCTACTTCATCTTCAGTATCGCAGTCCACGATTGGAAGGTACTCACTACAGACAGCTCCAGGGGTCAAGGTAAAACAAACAAGGAGGCCGGCCAAGGTCAGGTCGCATGCTCTCAGTCCCTCCTCGCCCGTTATTCCGTCAACACCACAGACGGCACTTGCAGCAGCGAAATCTCCCCTACTGCTCCGTCGCCCTACAATTGGCTTGTTCCTGTCTCCGGGACATCGCTTGGGACACAGCCATCCATACTATACCTCTGTGCCTCCCACCCCCCCATCCTTTCATCAGCCCTATCGCAGGCTTCCCAACTACATCTGCACAAAACATCCCCGATAACAGCTTAGCTGTGCCCACACAACAGACAAATACCCCACCTTCAGCAAACTTGATTGCGCGCACATCATGTTGACAGCAATCGGTCGCGCAGCGGCCCAGCGTCTTCTCATTCGCGCCGCGCCATTGACCGCCTCCCGAGCCGTCCCACGCGTCGCATGCCGGGCCTTCTCGACGACCAAGTCGGCACATCTCCCAGCCAAAGCCGCCGCCGCCTCGTCCACCAAGACGAAGGCTAAGAAGACGACGACGACAGCCGCGAAGAAGAAGCCCGTTGCGAAGAAACCGGCAGCGAAGAAGCCCGCGGCCAAGACGAAGAAGGTTGCTGCGAAGAAGCCCGCGAAGACTAAGACGGGCCAGGGTCGCGGTCGCCCCCGCAGAGCCCCGACACCCGAGGAGAAGCTTAAGGTCCTGAAGAAGGAGTTGAAGCAGGTCGCTCTGCTTGCCAGCGAACCCTCAAACAAGGTCACGTCCGCGTGGATGGTGTATCAGACAGAGAGGTTGAGGGCGGAGACAATTGCCAGGGAAGCATTTGGGGATCGGATTACAGCTTTCGCGGAAGATTTCAAGAACCTTTCTACTCACGAGCTCCAGGTAAGCTTGTCTGTCGGCCAGAGTTGTCCTAGGCCAGGGAACGACCGTCACATGAGGATGTCATGGCTAACAAGTTAATATAGCGCCTCCAAGAGACGGCCGAGGCGAACAAGCTCAAGAACAATGCCGCGTACAAAGCTTGGGTTGAATCCCACACGCCGCTGGAAATCAACAATGCCAACAACGCGCGTAAGCGCCTTCGCGCATTGAGCCTCAAGGAGGATGGAAAGCGCCAGGTCAAACCGAGATCAATTGTTGACGAGCGCTTGCCCAACCGCCCAACGTCAGCCTTCTTGTTCTTTGTCAAGGCGCGTTGGGCCCAAGGTGACCTTCCCTCGGCGATCGGACCGGCGACCAAGGCTATTGGTGAAGAGTGGAACAACCTCACAGAGGCCGAAAAGGCCCCGTACCTGGCGTTGGCAAAGTCCGACATGGAACGATATGAGCGGGACGTCAGCAACGTCCTGGGACGTGAGGTCGAACATCGCACTCGCACTTGAGCTTCGTCGGCGCTAGTCTTGGCTTGCCGGCGGCAGGCGAGGTATCCTTGCTCCACCAGATGCGTTTGTGTGTAGAGATATATCTCCGCGTATTGGGACATCCGATGAAAACTTCTACGGGGCATGTTGCGAGCAAAATCGTGTGCGATGAACAAACAGGAGAGCTGTGTCAGCAAAACCTGCTACTTTTATGAGCATGCGGGTTCCATGATGGCACTTTTACCGGTTCGATCATCAGAGGGCAGGATGAAGGTGCGGTGTTGAGTTTCAGATACCAATATTGAGAGGTTTCGCAACCAGTCTTGTAATGAGATTTCTCCGTGTATACATTTATCCAGCGACGCCTCTGCCAATGCCATTTGCACCACAACAGTGACGCCATTCGTTTCCAGTCCGACTCTGTGCCGCCCAACCGAAAGTCAAGAAACGCCTCGCTAGCCCAGTGAAAGAAAGTGCTGCCAAAAACGCCCTTGAGACTGTCCCCCCTACTCGTCCGCCCCGTCCTCCATGCTGTCCCCTGACTCGGAGTTGCCATGCCCGTTGGTAACCAGAATCACCTCCCCGGCGCCGTCCACCCACCGAGCCGTGTCCGTCTTCAAAGCCCTCTCGCTGGCAAGGTAAAGCGCGAGGTACACATGCCCGGCGACATATCCCCAGCAGTAGACCCTCAGCCACGACCAGTCCTCGGCGCGCGTGCACCAGACGCCCCACCCCGCGAACCCTTCGAGGATGTAGTCGGTCAGGAAGTGCCACGCCCGCTCGCGCAAGGTCGGTCGCCAGCCGGCCCAGTCGAGTGTCCAGTGGCCCCTCTCGAACGGCCGCAGCTCCCTCATCTGCTCGACGGGCCGGAAGCGTTTGTCGATATTGAGCTGCCGCGCAAGTTCCCTAAGCTTGGGCGTCAGGAGGTCGTCTGGAGTGAGTTCTGCGTTGCCAACAGGGGGCCCCTCGGGATGAATCTCGAGGCGTTCGAGGTAGTTCAGGTGACGCGTGTTTGGTGGGCGTATGACGCTGTAGAGATCGTCCGGGATGACGGGCCCGGCTATGGAGGGGCTCCGCGTTGCTGATCTGGATTCTGATATTGGTGCTGAGCGCTTGTGGCGCTTTCGTGGAAGTGGTGAATCGGAGTTGCCGCGAGAGGGAGAGGATACTGATGGACGCTTGCCAGAGGCCTGGCATGGTGTTTCTTGAATCACCTGATCGAGGGGGGAGCTCTCGGGTAGAGGCCGTTTCCGCGCTGGGAAAGGAGTGTCTAGAATGACGTTTTCCGCCGGAGGGGATGGGTGCGGTGGAGGGAAATCGCTGGCTGATGGTGGTTCGCTGGATGTAACTAGAACAACCTGCTCGTCGTCTTCTCCGTCATCTTCCACATCTTCCAGCTCCTTCTCTAGGCCTTGCGAGGATTGGGGAACTCGCCGCTGGCTTTGCGACGGGGTCTGTTGTGAGGCTACGGCTCCTTGACTCTCGAACTGACATGCCAAATGCTCAAAAAGCCGACTTGGAGACGAGAACTCGGCAAGGCTGATGTCGTTCGCTGGCTGAGAGTCCCCAATTACGCTTGGAGGAGCCACCCAACTAGACTGTGTAAACTGAGTCTCGGCGCCCGGTTGCGAAGATGGGGGTATATCCTGTACTGCTCCGGCTCTACCAAGGATTGGGGAGTTTCTGTTGTCCAAAACACTCCTGAAAGAAAGTTGGACACTTCCAAGTGAGGCCTCTGGTAGAATGTATCGCACTGGTGGTGATGACGGCAGTTGGGTTGCCTCGCTGCTTGGGATCGGTGCGTGAAAGGGTGTTGATGGTGAAGGTGATGGCTCACCCTGTGAGCCGGCTATGTCTGAATGCGCATCGCCTTGTAGAAACCCGCCTAATATCTTTGTCTGGCCTACTGGTTGAAATTCAAGATACGCCTGCGCCAAGGCGCGATACCTGGCATCGTCAACAGCTTTGCACGGCGCTGCGACGTGCACTAAGATCTCGATGTTGCCATTCGTCTCCATGACGACCGCAGGCTTATGTGAGGTGCGCGCATCTCATGTAGAGTCGAGAGGAAAGAGATTCAATTTAGAGTAAGGATGTTTTATGACCCAAGGAGAAACAAATTTGCCACGGTTCAAATTGAGACTTTTCGCATTGTGTTGTCGACCGCCAAGGTCCCAACACAGGACAGGTCTTGTCAAGAAATTGAGTTCCGTCACTTGAAGATGGGAAGTCGCGACTCGCGAGGTTCCCAAAGAGCATGGCAATCGTAAAGTCAGTGCGCTTTTCGAGGTGGGGCACCTAAATCAATGTCCCCTGCCCCTCAAGTCGCATTCAGAAACCGGGGGCCCAGCCTAAAATGCATTCTTAGCGCCGCTGAAGAGCTTGGGGACAGAAAGGTCGACTATACCACAGGCCCCAACGGCCCCCTGCATGACGGACACGTACCCGGTACGCAGCTGTCAATCGAGTGCAACCAAACCACCAAACTTCAGATTGGCCCATTGGCGCTCGCGCCGCAAACCGTGCATTGCGTTTCCTCGACCTTATTCCCAGCTCACCTCAGGGACCAGAGAAACCAATCCACCAACGGACGACTCTCGACACCATCTCCGCCTTCCGACCTTTGCTCGCACTTTGACGCAAGTCAGCTCGAAAGTGTCTCCCGAGACAAACCGCCCTCCCCCCCAAAAAGATGTCTTCCGAAAAGGCTCCCGTGCCAATCGACCTGGGCAAGGTCCTCGTCGTCGGCGGCAATGGCTTCCTGGGCCACCACGTAGTCAACCAGCTCCTGGCTGGCGACCGCTGGCAAACCAGCTCCGTCTCCGTAATCGACCTCCGCTGCGTGAACAACCGCAACCCAGCCGCCTCCTACCACGAAGCCGACATCACCGACACGGAAAAGATCAAGTCCATCTTCGAGGACGTCAAGCCCAACATCGTCATCCACACCGCCTCGCCCGCGCCCCAGGCCGACGGCCCTGTCGCCAAGGACCTCTTCCGCCGCGTCAACATTGATGGCACCGCCAGCATCATCGCCGCCTGCCAGGCCGCCGGCGTCAAGGCCCTGGTCTACACCTCATCCGCCAGCATCATCAGCGACAACACCAGCGACCTGATCAACGCCGACGAGAGGTGGCCCGTCATCCGCGGCGAGCAACAGTCGGAGTACTACTCCGAGACCAAGGTATACATCCGCGCACAATACTCTGTGACGAACTGCCCTCTTGCTGACACAAACACCTCTCTCTCTCCAGGCCGCCGCGGAAGAGCTCGTCCTCCAAGCAAACCGCCAAGACCCCTACCCCCTCCTTACAGCCGCCATCCGCCCCGCCGGCATCTTCGGCGAGGGCGACACCATGGCCACGCACCAGCTCGTCAAGATCTACCGCGAGGGCAAGACGGGCGTCCAGCTCGGCGACAACGACAACCTCTTCGACTTCACCTACGTCGGCAACGTGGCCCACGCCCACATGCTTGCCGCCCGCATGCTCCTGGCCACCATCAAGTCCAGCATCATCCCCCTCGACAACGAAAAGATTGACGGCGAGGCCTTCCTCGTGACAAACGACAGCCCCATCTACTTCTGGGACTTTGCGAGGGCCATCTGGCGCGCCGCCGGGTCGGACAAGGGCACCGACCACGTCTGGAAGATTCCCCGCGAGATCGGTGTCGTTCTGGGCTTCTGCTCCGAGGTCTTCTTCAGCATCATCGGCAAGCCGCCCATCTTCAACCGCCAGCGCAACATCTACAGCTGCATGACGCGCTACTACAACATCAGCAAGGCCAAGCGTCTTTTGGGTTACCGCCCCATCGTCAGCCTGGACTCAGGTATCAAGAGAGGTGTGCAGTGGTTCCTGGACCAGGAGAAGGCGGGTAAGGTCAGCGTCAAGGCGTGAGAGGCGACGATATGATGATGACGAGCGGTGATTTGCAATCTGACTATATCTCCCAAAAGAAAATGGTGATTTTTTGGTGTAAATATATATATACATAAACCCTATCATAAAAGGGACTAATAAACGGCCTGCGGCCACGTCAAGAGCTAAAGACGACATGTTGGGAAAAAAACAGAACAAGCAATCGTTAGCGACAGAGAGTATCATGAGGGAAACCTGCAGGGAAATGTTTTCCCGCTTTGATCGCATTAGCGAAACTATCTGGTTCTTTCACCTCGTTCGAGCTACCAAAACAAGGCTCTTGTCGCCTCGTACAGCCTTGAGCCCAAGGCAAAAACAGGCAACTTTTCCCCCTCACCCCCTCTCGCCTGTCGCCTTCTCGTTCCTCTCGAAGTCCTCAAAAATGGTAATCCGACATCCCCATTCCAACAAACAGAAGCGAAGCTATAGTAGGTCTCGCACGCAAGCCAAGAAGAAATCAAGGCTCGGTCAACCCATGTGAATCAAACATCCAGCCAGTCCTGCCCATCGACAAGTCGATGGACCCTGAGGCCATACTCCAAACCAAACCACCAAACCAAAGCCAAACCTCCCTCATCCCCAGCAGACGACCAATCATGTCGTGAAAGAAGACCAACAGACTGCAAGAGTCCCTCGTTTCATGGTCTGATGCTTTACTCTCAGAGAAGCTAAGAAGTAAAGGGTTCGGAAAAAAGCTTTGAAAAGAACTCGAAAAATTCATTCATGCCGCCTTGTCGTGAGTAGAAGTAACCGAACAAAAGGGAAATCTTTTTGTTCCTTATGATCAAAAAGGGTTAGGAACGCCGCCAACGATGCATGGATATGTATGTGACTCTCAAAACCCAAATTGCAATCCCGATAGAATGCATATGAAGCAGTGCATGCGAATGGATAGCAGCACACTTCGTTGTGTGTATGTGTGCACAGCCTGCCACCTTTGTGACCTAACAGGGCTATGTATGTCCACCAACTCCCACACCACCGTTCTGCCGTCCCCAAGCAGCAGAGTTGCGCCATTCACGCTTCTGTGCATCAGTTGGGCCCTCGGTATCAGAGTGTTCAGGCTGGTTGGCATAGGGTGAGGGGTGACCGTTCTCTTCATGTGGCCGCCACCTTTGAGGAGGTATGTTGGCGTTGGGGTGAGGATGGTAAGGCAGGACCATGGTAGGCAGAGGGTCCTGTACAGGGCGGACACTGCTCTCTTGCTGTTGCCACAGAGCGGGGTCCGTCTCAACTCGTCGGGGAGGTGGGCGAGTGGAGTTGTCCGGTCTGTTGAAGACCTCATTGACTTCGCCCAATCCTGGTCTCTGGCCAATGCGGTCCTGGTAGCGCTTCAGGATATCCTTGGTGCTCAGATCAGCACCGTTTCCGGAGCCAAACACGAAGGGATCATTCACTAGATCCATGAGCTCGTCGGGAACCTATAACGCAATATTAGTTAGTGATGCTGAAACAAGCGTGTGAGTGTGGAACATACCAGGCACATCTCCTCAATGTAAGTGATCATGTCTTGTACAGCAACAATAGCGAACATTGGATCGCTGTCCAGAGCAGGAGCTTTGTTACTGCTGTAGAGGATGTTGGGCGCGATAACAGTCGCCAGGTTCTTGATGTCCATTCTCGAACCAGCCTCTTCATCGACCTGATGGAAAGATCCAGCCCACTTGAGGAAGCAGAACAGAATCTCCAAGGAGTCCCTGTGGACCTTGGGGAGCAGACAGCAGATGAGATGAAGATACTGCTTTCTCTTGGCGTCATCCTGAATCTTGGCAACAACGATCCAAAGACGTTGAAGCTTAAATGTCATGAGGGGGTCGGGCAGCTCACGCAGGTAGCGCTTCAGCAACGCAGCGACTTGGACAACAGGCTGGTCCATGAAGCTGATGTTATCGCAACCCTCGCGGTCAATCCTCTCCACAAGTTCAGTGAGCTTCTTGATGTTGCCGTTCTTCCTGAAAACACCCTCGACCGAAAGGTCCATCTTTCTCATGGAGCTGATGATATCATCAATGATGGCAGGGATTTTGAGAGCTCCAGGTCCCACACCATCCGTCGACTCGGCACCGTCCTTCTCAATGATAATCTCCAGAGGCACTCCGAAGATGCCCTTCTTCTTGGCATTCTTTGGCCTGTCGTTCTTGAACGCCTTACCCAAGTTCTTCCAGAACGTGGGCTGCTTCCTCGACTCGATGAAACTTAAGAGCTCGTCCAGAGTAAACTCGTTCTCGACCGCGGGATGGAGGGTCAGGACCGCCAAGTGACGGACAATGAAGTACTCTA